AACAAGCAGTGTGAAGGGGCACAAAACTCAAGCAGAGTAATGCATCAAGGTCTGGAGCAGTCCTGTAAATGGCATCCTCAGGCTCCACCCGGGTGTGGCCTGCACAGTGTCCAGAGTGATCAGGGCAGGGCTCTGCATGCATTGTGTCTTTGGCGTGAGCCCTGACGTTGTTGCACAACTGAACTTTCCAGCAGTCCCCTAGATGGGCTCTTTTAACTCTGGAATGGTGGATTTAAGGCTGGATTTCTAAAACTAAGAGTTGTCGAGGTAGTCAGTATTCACCTGAGTTATGTGTGGGTGCAGGGATGTCTACATATATAGGTGGTCTTTTAGCTCAACTCCTATGAAGATAGTTACAAGATGTTTCTGTAACGTTATATGTTGTTTGTTGATTTTTTAAAGCTTTTTTTTTTAGAGCTTCTAGCCTGTATAACATGTAGTTCTGCCAGTTTTCAGTTATCTCTGCTACAAATTCAGGCCCATTATAGGTACCACTGGTCAAGGGAAGGCCATATCTAAGGATGATTTCTCACAGCAGGACCCCACAAACTTTTGTCACCCTCTCAGCTAGGATAACAAATGCCTTGGGCCAGCCTGCGTAAGAGCACATAAACACCTACAGATACATCTATTAGTCTTAATAAGGCCTTACTTTAGTGAAATTATCTGTATGTCTGGTGGTAGTAGGGGCTGGTGACGCAGACACCGAAGCCTGAGTGGGCTGAGGGTGTACACGTGCCAGTGCTTGATCCTGCAGAACTTACGGCAGGACTAGTCTAGCTCTGATTAATATACATCTTCTTAGAGTACCAAGTAAAGTCTGTGAATGGCGGAAGACTGAGGCGATGTGCACAGAGGGCAATCACGGCGGTGCTGGCGGTTCAGAAGCATTGAGTTGGCTTTCCAGGCAGGAGAGGCGTGTGTCTGCAGTTTGGCAGTCTATGAACACTTTGCCGTAATAGTCTGCCAGGATTTCAAGCTGCTTTGGGTGGCTGAGGTGCGGCTCAGTATTTGTGCGCTTTCCAGGAATTCTGTTTTGTTGTCTACCAGGAAATTCACATGTTTGACTTTTGACTTTTGCAATGGTTGTGGGCTCTTGAGGACCAAATTTGATAGAGCTTGGTCTGCTTTATCCATCCAGGTGAAACAGGGTGAGAGGTTCAGGTTGAGGTGGTCCTGGATAGCCAGGCTGCTCTGTGTATCCCAGACAGAGAGGGCACTTATGTTTTGTATCCGTAGCCCTTCTAACTTGTAGCCAGAGGGTATGGTCACCGATCAGATTGGATTTTCTTATGTTCTTATTTATCAAATGTCTGGGTAACAGTGGTTGATGGCATTTTTGTACCCCCTCTTTGATTTATTTGAGAAACACTTCACTGATTTTGTTTCTAGGCAGGGTGACATTTGTCAGGGGTGACAGCACAATTTCTCCTCAATCAAAATATGGAACTAGGAAAGAATTGTTGGCAGTCATCTTGTGTGTGTTAAATGATGCCACCTGACCAGGATAGGTGTGTCTAGGGGGAAGGCCTCTGTGGCCAAATGGCTAGCAGGGTATGGCTAGCTGGAGCCAGCTCAACTGGTTGGAAGTAAGCAGGTATTGGCAACAACTGTGGTGGCCAATGAGAGTGTCAAGGCAGAATTCTCAAGAACAGATCCCTTTTTCTTCAGATGCAGGGAACAGCAGTTTGATTTCATTTTAATTTCATCAAGGACTGTGGGCTTGAACTAATTAGTTTCCATTTTGGGCTCTCTACCTGTGTGCAATGTACCCTTGAATGATGGCTCAACAAACAAAGGGTGGCTCCCCTCAGAGAAAGAGACCAAGCAGATGCCTGGCTGGCCACACTGCCCTTGGGGCCTCAGGCAGGACTTAGGAGGATGCATGGCCTCTGTTATACCATACGTTGATTGCCACAGACCCACAGGCGAGGGCCCAATCGGCCACCGACAGTGCTTAGCAGTCTTGGCGCACTGACAGGGCAGCTTACACTGTCCATTCCACTCACTCCCACATTGGTTCAGCAGACACTCTGAGGTTAAATATTCCACTCCCCTTCCCTTGAGGAAGGGTCCTGACTAATGAGAGTTGTTCAGATGCTCCTCAAGCTCAGCAAGAATGACAGACTAGCTAACTTTGGTGGCCCCAGAATCACGCAGACAGGTAGGCAGACAGACAGATTTTGCCTTTCTCCCTTTGGGGTTTTGTGTGAGCCCTCAGACAGGAATCCTCCTGTAGACCTCAGAGGGGACTTGAGAAATCTCATGAGTGTGCCTTCCCCTCAGGACCTGGAGAGGTTCTTGTTCAGTCTGCTAGGCCATGACTAAACGGGTGGTGACTAAACGGGTCCACATGGTCACTCTTCCTGGCCAGTGCCCCAGACGCCACAACAAGGAGGAACACGGAAATGTCATCCAACCCGGGATTTAGAGGTAGACTTATTTTATATGCATTGATTGGGTTCATTCCCAAAATATCAAGCCCTGATCTCTGGTGGTTTGCAGCTTATGTGGGATAATCAAGCAGGAAGTACAGACGCAGAGTACTTGGTTGTCTTTGATTGGTTCTTACAACATGCCTCATAGTGACTAGCCATTACTAGGAGACATAAGTATCAAGATCTTGTAACCAGGAACTATTACCTGGGCAACTAACAGACTGACAGTGGGACGTTTTCTGTTACATAAGTACTACATTTTCTTTATCAATTCACCTATTGATGGTGATGTAAGCCACTTCCAGGATTTAGCTATAATGAATTATACTGCTAAAAATATGAATAGGCGTATTTCACTGTAACATGATTAATCTACCTGTTTATGGAAGATTCTTAGAGGGGAAAGAGCTAGGTCAAATAGGATTTCTACTTTGAATTTTACTGAGGAATCTCCATATTGATTGACATAGTGGCTGTACTAGTTTACTTTCCCACCAACAACGTGGAAGCGTTCATTTTTTTCCAATAGGCTCACAAGCATTTGTTAGTTCTTTATTTCTTATTCATCTTATTATTATTAGTTTTATTTTTTATTCACTTTAATGAGAAAAAAGATAAAATATCAATGAAACAGTTTCAAAGCAGGTTAGTAGGACAGTTACAATAATAAATACATTGCATATTGTTGTCTTTATAGTAGTTATTCAGAGGACAAGATGCAGACATGATATCTAAACAATATTAGTGCAAACCTTTCTTCTCAATGAACTAAGAGAAAATAGCTCTATATCTATCCTAGCTATCTTGTATATACATACTTTTTTTTTTAACTACAAAACAGTCCTTTATTTATATCCCCTTTTTTGTCTCGTATTGTCAGAGATGGCTGTTCCGCTGCTGTCAGAGATGCTGATTTCTTGATGATAGCCATTTTCTGGGGGTAAAAGCACTATTTCTCAATAGTGCTTTAATTTACATTTCTCTGATGGCCAGTGATTTTGAGAATTCTTTTATGTATTTGTTGTATATTTGTACTTCTGAAAAGTATCTATTTATTTTGGTTTCTCATTTTTTGATTGGGTCTTTTATTTTAAGGGTTTAATTTTTTATTTTCTTAATATATTCTAGATGTTATTGCTCTAAGGAATAGCCAGAATTTTTTTTTCCTGTCTTATAGGTTGTCTCTTCAGTCTGTCAGTTGTTTCATTTTTGGTTTGGTTTGGTTTGGTTTGGTTTGGTTTGGTTTGGTTTGGTTTGGCTCGGTTCAGTTTGGTTTTGCTATGCAGAATCTGTTTATTTGATGTGATCCCATATGTTAATTCTTGGCATTATTTCTGTTTCTCTGGGGCTCTGCCCAGAAATTCTTGCCTGTGTCCCCTTCTTCAAGAACTTGACCCATTGTATCTTCCAGTATTTTTTTCATCTTCACATTTAGAGCTTTAACCCATTTTGGTTCTAGTTTAGATCACGGTGAAATCTGTGTCTGACTCCGTCTCCTGTATACGCGAATCTCATTTTCCCAGCGCCGTTCGTGGAGAGGCTGCCTCTGCCGTGTGTGTCCCTCCATATGTTAAGTGAAATCCTCACTCTGCTTGGCCCTCGGTCCTCCTCCACACTTCAGGCCCAAGTGACGCCGCCCCTCCCTCTCTCTGAGCTCCGCCTCTGCCGCCTTGCGCAGTTGGCTTCTCCCCCTGGACCCTCACCTCCCTTCAGCCTCCCCCGCACCCACCACAGCTGCCTTCCGTTCCTTCCCTCAAGTCTCGGCTTACATGGCACCATATTGCAGCCCCCACCCCCCACCACTTCATTTTATAAAGTCCGAGCACACAGTTTCCATTACGGCTCTGTCCTCCCATGCACATCTCTCATAGTTCGCTGAACTTGTGTAAGGCTTGTCCACATGGTCTCCTTTCTGACGTACAGCAGAGCAGGGCTGCAGTTCCCAAAGCTCCAACCTTCCCAACCCTCAACCCCACAAGCACTTCCTGCGTGCTTCCTGCTCTCCGAATCCTCTTCTAATATCAGATTAGGACAGATTTTTGGCCCATGGTGAGAATGCAATAAATCTCTGATTTTTAAAATTATTAGCCGAAAGCTTTTTGTTGAAGAGAAAAACTGTGCTGACAGCATTTCATTTTTTTAGGAAATAAGAGGATGAGCCAGGGATAGTGTCCCCACTTATAATCACAACATTCTGGGAGGCGGAGGCAGGAGAATAAAAAGTTCTTAGCCTGGGCAATTCAGGAACGAAGCAAGACTTTGTCTCAAAATAAAAAATACATGAAAAGGATTAGGATGTAGCTCAATGTCAAGGCCCCAGGTTCAGTCCCTGGTAAAGTGCAAAGGAGAGATGAAGAGGACTTTCCAAACAAAATGGATAAAAGCAAAGAGTTGGAGGCTGGCCTTGCCATCCCAGAGGAGAGGGTTTGAGGAAAGTCTTGTCAGGAGAGCGGGAAGACGAGGGCTGTACCACTTGCGGGGGGGGGTCGTGATGTTCAGGACTAGTGAAAGCCTTCTGCCAAGGGCTTCCTCACCCACCTCTGCCTCCCCTTCTCTCCACAGTCTCCCGCGGGCACACACAGGAGGCCAAGTGTCCCCTGGGCTTCTTCCCCTGCGGCAATGTCACCAAGTGTCTGCCTCAGCAGCTGCACTGCAATGGGGCGGATGACTGCGGGAACCAGGCCGATGAGGAGAACTGCGGTGAGTGCTGGGCAGACGCGGTGCCCGCAGAGCCAGGTCAGCAAGACAGGACCTGGCTTACCCTTCCCTGTCTGGAGACGGAAGTGCTCAAAGAGTAAAGGAAACCCAAGGGCAAAGAGCAGGTTGCTGGAGGGAAACTTCCACTTAGTTCATTTGCTTATAACAGCCATTTCCCAGGAGAATGCATCCTCCTCTCATGACCAGGTCCATACCAGACTTCAGAAAGGCAGTGACGCTGCCTACTGCCTGTGCTTCAGCCAGACCAGGCAGTCTGGTGTCTGTGTTAGAAGCGGAAAGGCATAAACGTTCTAAATAGAGCTCTAGAGCTGGATTTCCGAGGTTGGAACCTGGATACCATGATTATCAGGTATGTAAAGGTGAAAACGTTTCCTAACAGCTCTGCACCTCAGTTTCCTCCTTTTACAAGAGTTTGATAACTGTACTATGCTCTAGTGATTTGGGACAATTAAGTGTAAAAAGTAAGAAATCTGCAGGCATAGGGCAGATGGGAATTACTACATGTGGTTCCTCTTTTGTGATAACTAACACTGGGGAAGAAAGTTGAGGCCATGGGGCCGGGGAGATAGCTCAGTGGAATAAGCGCTTCCCTGGCAAGCGCAAGGGCCTGAGTTCAATCCCCGATTCCGGAAAAAAAAAAAAAGTTGAGGCCTCCTAAAAGAAAACACAACTTACCTACTGTTCAAGCAACAACCTTATAAGGCTTGACCTTATAAAGCCAGCAATTAAGACTGCTAGCCAACAAGAATGTCTGGGGACATAGCATGCAGTTGGGATTTTGTTCAAATTTATGAACCTTCAAAAACACGAATTTATAAAGGAACTTGCATTTCTCAGAGCTAGCTTGCTAGAAATATCAGCTTTTGTTCGATAATGTAAAATAACAAGGTTAATCACTCATGGGGAAATACACTAGCATGTGTGAAGAAAGAAACATGTGGACAAATGTTGGTATTCAAAATACTGCCCAGACTTACCCCACAGAGGCCAGAGGCACTGTTGCGTGGTCTTCGATTGCAGGCTTCCTAGGTCTTACAGTGAAGGAGTTAAGCTTCTGTTGGGACAAAATAGGATCAAGACCATCCTTGACAATTCTCTGATCACTGGCCTCCTGTGCAAAACTTGAGCCAAAAGGAATCTAAACTGGCTGCTCTCTTGTAAATGCCTCTAGTAATGAAAAATGAAATAAGAATCCTCCTAAAATGCCACACAGTAATCACCTTTAACTAATGCACTACCATGTGGGACCTGCATTGTAATAATCATGTAAAGACTCAACAATTTTGTCATTTTTGTTTTATAAGCCATCCCATAATACACACTCTGGAGCCCCTGGACCACCTGGACAGGGTTTCCGGACAGCTGTCCGTGCCATGCCTTCTCCTATCACATGCAAATAACCTCTCTTCTTGTGTTGATGATTGGGCCCCAGGTCTCACACATGCTACACAAATGCTCTACCACTGAGCCACAATTCAACCCCAATTTTTTTTTATTTTTCTAATTCAATCTGATTCTATTTTGAGCACTTCTCTGTTTGGATCATGGTCTCCAGCTAGTGGCAACAATTCAAGAGTGATTATGCTGTCTGAACTGATGAGCTAAAGCTACAATTATTTTTGACTTAAAAGGACTACAAATATTTATTTATTTATTTATTTATTTATTTATTTTGCGGTTCTGGGATCAAACTCAGAACCTTGTGCTGGGCAGAGAGGCGTTTAAGCCACTGAGCTGTCTCCTCAGCCCCATAAATATTTCTTTAAAAAAATAACTTCTTGCTGAAATAACTGACTACTGTACAAGCTTTAAAAAACAAAAGCACTATGGTAGAAAGGTTTTCCACATCCTGCTATCCATTTCTCTGTTGATGAACTGGCTATTCAGAGTCCAGGAGGGACGGGTCCCATCAGTTGAAATGGTCTCAGGAAGCAGAAAAAGGAGCTGGTATTCCCAATTCACCACTAAAAGTAGGGTTTTGTTGGAGAACTTTTAGGAACGTTAGCTTTAGTGCCAAGTCTGAAGAGACCAAGTAACAAGTCAGCAATCCCACAGTTATGGTCCTTATAGGGTCAGTGTCCCATGGCCAACAATTCAGAAGGAAGAAGTAACACGCTGGGAATGAGAACACAAACTTGGGGATTGGGCTTAAATTCTGGAAATGAAAGAACATAAAATGGAGTCTTTTTTTCTGTAAGAGAGACATAATAAGGGTCCCTGTGTCCATAAGCCATAAAGAAGACTCAAAGGTAACGTATCTAGGATGTCCAGCAGAAGACAGGTGAACACGCTACATGGCAGATGCCTCCAAATGCATCTGTAGAAATCCTCCCCTCGTGCACGCTGCCAGTCACCTGGAAATAGAAACACAACTTCTGTTCAAAACCTCAAAACAGCCAGTTGGCATGCTGTGTCCATGCCTGGGTAGGCAGGAACTTTCCAGGAGCGATGGAAAAAAATTTCACCATAGTTAGAATCCAGGTGGTGAAATCTATAACGCTGAGTTATTTCTGCACACCTCTCATCGCCTTAATCTCCTTGTCTGCCCTGGTTTCCATATCTGTGTTTAATAGTGTCTGGACAATTTGTATTATCAAAGCTATGTATTGGTAAGACATCTATGTCAAAATCATGCTTAATGATCCTTGAATTAAAGCAAAAGTTCTTCCAGAATATATAGACTTCATGCATACTTGGGCAAGTAGTGTTACATGTGTTTGCAATTAGTCATCTTAATCTATACAGACAAGAAAAGCCAAGTTAAAAAAATGACTTTTATCTTCATCATTCACAATTGAATAGTAGATTGTCAAATAAAATATCTTCTTAAATGGAAAGAGGGGGACCAGGGAGATGTCTCAGTGGAATAAGCGCTTCCCTGGCAAGCATAAGGGCCTGAGTTCAATCCCAGGTTCTGCCAAAAATAATAAAATAAAAATAAATGGAAAGAGGGGGCTGGGGAGGTGGCTCAGTAGAAAAAGTGCTTGCCTAGCAAGCACAAGGGCCTGAGTTCAATCCCCAGTTATACACACACACACACACACACACACACACACACACACACAAAAGCAAGTAGAAACTGTTTCCTTAGTCAAATGTTTTAAGGTAAAAAAAAAAAAATAATAATCATTCAAAGACCTCCTCTGTATCCTCTTAAGCTATTCAAACATTGTCACCAATAATGATTATTTAAACCATGTTCATCCTTGCAAGGCACTTGCCAAAATAACTTTGATAAGCCCTGTCCCCACGCTGGGGTTTCCTGGCTACCATAGCCTACCTGTGTTCTCGCAAGCCTTTGTGCCATGGTATTCCTGCCTTGGACTGAACTTCCCCAAACTATCAGCTAAATTAAATCCAGCTAAATTAAACCTTTCATCCCATAAGTCATGGCTGTACGGTGTTGTGTCCCAGCCACTGGGAAGCTCATAGAACCTCCCAACAGGGCCACGGGCTGGGGACCAAGCTTTGAACCCTAGATTTGGGGAGACACATCCAAACTACAGATGTGACTGCAATTGCCAGCTTGTTTATTGCTTGCTGAGGAGGGAAACTGATGCCTATTGAAGCTATTATGTGATTAATGACTGTCTCAGACAACTCTCTTTCCTATAAAACTCATATCTTACAGGTCTACCCCTTGAATCATTTGTAAGCACTTCAGTAGAAAAATTAAATAAGGCATTTTTAATTTTTTTTTGGGGGGGGGAAAAGTACATGAGAAATTAGGTGAATTAACAAATTTAAAATGATATAGTTATTAATGTATTTATCGTTCTCCCAATGTATGAAACTCCTGTATAGTGTGTAAACAATTGAGAAAATAAAATAATTGAAAATTTTCTCCATTTCATATCTGCAAAGAACATTTTAATAAAGATAATTTCAAAATAGGCAAACTGACTTGGAGAGCTTTACTTTTAACTCTCCAGTTTGTGTTCCAGTAGTGTTTCACACAGACTCTATCAGTGCCCATGTTCATACAGACCTGTAATATTTAATTTGCTCTGAATGACAAAAAAGGCAATAGAATTTGTGTTAATCAATTATAATAAGTTATATTTTAGTTTTACTGACCTGACACACTTAAAAATACTTGCATGCAGATTTTAAAACTATGCTTTGTTTAGTCTAAAGAAATAATTACACCGTGAAGCTCTACGCGTAACTGACCTCTACATCGGAAGATATACACATATCTTGAATGGTAGTAATGACTAGACATGAATTCTGAGAACTTGGATGCTGGTATTTAAAGGCAATATGTTTTAGATATATCACAGGAAGGATTTGTAGGTTTTCATCTTTAGATGCTAGAAGATAAGATGTACTATGTATGCTTGTGGAGGTATTTTGTACACTTAAAATATTTTTAAATGAACATGGACTGAGAATAATATTGATGGATTCAATCATCTTGTTGAAAATACAAACTAAACAAAAAAAAAAGAAAATATAAGCAGAGTAATAAATATGAATGATGAAGTTAAAAATAAAAATACAAGTTTAAAATTATAGGTAAAATGACAAGAATAATCACTGTTATGTTACAGCACCTGATAAGTCTAAGGAACTATTCCCAGGAATGTGCATAATTTTCCTCTCGTCCTCGTGACAGCCCCTGAGAAACTTGTTCCTCCTTTTCCTCTAATGATAGGCTATGTGAAGGCCTCAGCTATGGGGCATTCAGTTCATACTTTCAAAGGAATATAAAATTTTTTTCTTGTAAATCATAATTTTTCTATGGTCAGAGTTTTCTTCTGTTGCAAGCTTCTGCACTTCCAAGCACTAGCAACTAAAACCCAGTCAGTCGCAGCCTCTTTCATTTCTGTTCTGCTGAAATTACAGCCGACCCAGAGGTCTCTGTGGTGCCAGCACGTGTGTGTAGGTCTCGGGGCAAAGAGGTGTGGCTGGCTGTCACCATAGGATGCTCACAGAATCCCCGAGATGGACAGAGATGATCTTGTCCCCTGCCACCTCTT